TGGAGGCACAGCCCTCCATACGGACGTGTGCGGGATCAGGCACACGCTGGCCAAGCCGCTGTTCGGCGTCAGAATCCAGACACACAGCATTTCACGCACATGCTGTCCCTTCTCGTTGAACGAGGAGACTGTTCCAGGAACGGCTATACGTCCGGGTCTTATCTAAGTGTTTGAAATATCATTACCTAATACTTCAAACTTTATATATTTTTTTTTTTAGAAAAAAACCTTTTCTACTATGTGTTTATATTCTATATCAACTAAAGTTGACTTCATTTCCCCCACAGGGGGAAAAAAAAATATTATGGAAGTACCATACCCAAATAATGTTTTAGACACTGTACCATGTGGATGATCTCTGATTTTCGAGTTTAAAAGCACGGAGCATCTTGAGATCGAAGGAACTGATCTGAATGCAAGGATTCCGCCCCCACGAAGGAAAGAAAAACAATGAGGCGAAACAGGACAAAAGGAGCAGCGACGTGGTGGGGAGTGAGAAGAGCGCGTAAATTACGGGTAGGGGAAAGAGAACGCGGCAGGCAATAGGAGAAGGAAAATTGGCCCCTGTGGGATTTTGTGAAAATCGTCTCAGTATTTATAGGGAGGCTAAGAAAACCAAGCCAGACGATCGCCCTTTCTCAGGGCGCCCACCTTGCTACGGCTTCGAAAGGTTACAACCGATTGTTAGGACCCCGAGAAACGCGGAGCTTTTCATACAAGGATGCGCGGCGAGAGCCGTTAAGAGCCGATTAAATTTTCAGAAAGCGCCGCGCTCTGCCTTCCACGCCTCCGGAAAAGACACAACGACCTTCTCCACCTCCTAATTACCCGCAGGAAATCAGGTCTGTCCGCCTGTCCATCATCTGTCTACCCGGACGTGCCGGCTCACTGGCTAACTCAGGACACTGGGTTAAAAATGAAAGTGGAAAAAAGTTAAAAGGACTGGTATGAAAAATGACGCAGTCACTAAGGGGCATTTTACGCTAAATAAGGAAGATAAAGGTGGTCTCGCGCACATGCGGGGCCAAATATACGTCCAGGATATGGTTAAAACGTCTCTTGGGAACACCATTGACTTTGGCCAACAACATCATGCCAACTGCTTCATCGTAGAAATTATGAGTCAAGAACTCTTTGCAATGAAGAAAAAGGGATACACGGGGACCGAAAAATCTACGCAATCAACACTTACACTCACGTGTCTCCAAACGTGCCAACCTTCCTTCTGATTTCTACAAAACCAGACCATCTACGAGTAGAACGAAGATGGTAGGTGTCTACTCGCCTCATGGTAGGCGTCTACTCGCCTCAAGGTGGGTCCACCTTCAAGGTGTGAATTCCCTCCTGGATGATGAAGACGAGTAGATGCCCTTCCACCTTCCAGAGACTTTCTCACCCATCACCACAGTGAATACTGACTTTAGACTACCTTTTTTTTGGTTTTCACACCCAATCCGTGTTTTTTATATTTAGTTGGACAACCCCATAACGACGGTTCGTCGAGACGCGTTTCCCAGTATCTGGCAGCGAGGTGCACACCGTTGGCTTTCTTGACACAGGTCAAGCTTACGAGGTGCGGACCCCTGTTTTCTTTCCATAAAAGCAAACCAGAAGTAATGCCTAAAGGAGGCACATGCGTCGACCGGCCGGTCCCTCTTCCCGATAAAGATGGAGCCAGGTATTGCTGGCGGAACGGCGTCAGGAAAGATCTAAATTGGTGAGGAAGACACTCCCGACGATGGAAGCTGTGGGATGGGGACCAAAGCAAGGGACATCTTTCCCCTTTTAAAGAAGAGGACAGACATCGTGTTTTCAGTTGGATCACCCCGAAGATTTAGGGTTCAAGAATTCCACCACGGCTTCCGTGAGTCTCGGGAAAAACGCACAAACCAGAATTTACCTTCCTCAAGTCCTTTCAAGAGCATTTAAATACTTATCTGTTCCCACTTGGGTTCCTTGGAACCCCATTATGCCATTTTGTGGCTTGTTTTGGTGACGTTGTTCAGATATTTTTTTAAAAAATAAATTAGCAGGACGATCTGCTCCAAATAAGAGAGGTTTCACCAGCAGATAATAACTCGAGGGCCATCAAGGTGTTGCCACTGTGGATATGTGATGATAAGGTATTAAAAATCTTACCCGGAAAAATCTCGAGATTGGGAGATGAGCCCTGTCGTCTCGGTTCCCGACAACAGCCATAAATTTATCATCCCCAGGAGCTCCAATGAGCTGGAGGCTGGCGTGCCGGGACCCTCCCGTTGCACCCAAAATAGGACCTCAAGTGATTGCAAAGGCAGAAAGTGCCAGAAAGTAGAGAAGAGAAAGGATTCAACCAAGAACTAAGAAAAAAGGATGAAGGACAGAGAAGAGAAGGGGCGGGGGGGATGGCAGGCAGAGAGGTACGAGGTGTTTAGAAATAAGTGTGTTCTTGACAGTCATGTGCTGACGTCGTTAGGACGTGTGCTTACTTGCTCCAAAAAAAGGAATCCACCCAGCCATGATTCCCCAACGCTACAGGAATTAGGGAAGAGCCACAAGCAATGAACAAGTGGGGCTCCCTCTGGCCTCGTGCTGAGTGGGGTAATTGCAGGCTGTGTGGACGAGAAGCTCGGGGGCTCCAGGAGGTGCAGCCGGTCGAGAGAGAAGCCCGTCCGCAGAGCTGGGGGAGCTCGGTTCTGCAGAGCATCCTGACCTAGGCGGGGTCCGGCCGTGTTTGTAGGGAGATGTGCCAAGAGGAAGCAGGGGTGTTGACCAACGGCCACCGAGGGGCAAGGAGACACGGCTTCCCCAGCTGGCCACCTGCAGGAGCCTCTGCTGCACCCGCCATGCCCGTGGGCAGTGGGTCCCGCTCACAGGGTAGTGGGCCCGGGGTTGGCTGGACCATGGGTCCGGGGGCTCCCGAGCTTGGCTGCACATTCAGCCAAGGAGAAGGTCAGTTTGAGGGCTACAGCCAAACCGCCCCCGCCTGGCCCGGCGTCAGCATCCTCCACTTGTCTCACGGTGGTTCCCCCCCCGACACCGTGAGTGGACGTGCTGGGACCTCAACCGACCGACTTCCCAACCTCGGGCTTCTGAGGTTGCAAAACCAATATGGCGCTGCTCTCACGTTCGGCCAAGGCACGCAAGAGTAACTTAAAAAGTGAATGGGTGCATGTGAGTCTGAGTGTGTGTGGGTGGAATCAGGGGCTCACCTCCTCGCTGGACCAGCTCCCCTGTCCCCGTGGGAGTGACCACGTTCACACGGGCTCAGGCCACAACCCCCCAGCTCCCCGTCCAGCCGCCTCCAGTCCTTCTGGATGCAGCCACCGTCAGGAATGGGCTCGCCATGAAGAAACAAGAGCAGACGAGCCGCAGGCGTGTCACAGGTTTGAGGAGAGGGGCCCGCCTGCTTCCAGAAGGGACACCATCATCCCAGCGATGAAGAACCATCCCCTGCCCCACTGCCGGCCCCAGCAGCCTCCTCTCTGGCCCAGAAGGGCTGCCAAAGACCTTTCCCTTTCATCCAAGTGCTTTCTGCACCCAAATCTGAACCTCAACGTACAGAACTGAAGACACCACGGAATTTGTTCAAAGGCGTTCTTGAAATCTCCTTCCTCCGATGCATCCAGGCCAGCCATACGTAGCCCCGAATGAACCTTTTCTCCTTCCCTGGTTAGGTTGACAACATAAGCGCGTTTTGGTGAATTCTTCTTTAAACTATCGTTTTTTTAAAAAAAATTCATTCCGATTTTTTTTCAAAGTCATGGAAAAAAGAACACGTGCTCCAGACATTTCTCGCGAGACCCCTGTTTTGGTCTGGAAAGTACGGTTTCGTGCATTGAGGATGGCAGTGGTTCTTAACCTTAGGGGTGCATGGGGATCCCGAGAGGGCTGTGAAAATGCGGATTCCCGGGCGCACCCATGAGTCCTAAGGCACGGAGCTGGGAATCTGCATTTCTAACGTGCTCCCAGCGATGCCAGCGCGGCGGGTCCAGAAATGCATGCTGGGATGCTCTGTGCCTCCGTGAACCGCTGCAGACAGGACGGGGACAATGATGGGCTGTCACAACTATCGATCATTTCTGCCCCGGGGGGCAGGTCACAGAGACAAGGAAACAGCTCCCGTCTGCAATGGCTGCCTGATATTGCACAGAGAGCTAGGCCGTGGGCGATGGGGAAGCCCCCTTGGTGGTCTGTCCCAAGATGGAAGGGAACGGCCATGAAGGGCGTCGGAGGCCACTGGGACTTTCAACACTGCCCAGCCTTCGCAGAGCATAGGACAGCACGTGCCCGCATGCCCTGGACTGGGGAGTAAGGACACCAGAGGACAACAGCTCTCCTTCCTGTCTCATGAATCACAGTGAGCCCAGAGATGGGAATCCCCAGCTTGTGGGCGCCATCTTGGATCCAATGGACCAAGACACTGACGTGCGTCTTCTCTCCTTTAAACGTACGGCACACGCGCAAGCATTGCTCAGAGAGAACTCAAAGAGGCTTGGAATCAGGAAAGACGGGAGGGACGTGCACGCGTGCCTCAGGCGGAATAAACAGGTAGAGTACTACGGGATTCTCTACGGGGCAGAGTTGAGTATCCTTCGGTCAGGCAGGTGCCGGTTGCAGTTATCATCACTCAAGAACCAGCAACCAGCAGATGCACCTGCTGGCTGGGGCGTCCAAAGGTTCCCGTGTGAAGATGCGTGTCAGAGAGCCCTGGGCACTGGAGACGGACACGGAATGAACGCGGGTCCTGATTTCACAGGGATGCGATCAACCAGCACGTGCCAATGCCTTCCCTTGTAGATGCCTACGCCGAGCGATGCTGTCGTGGTGTCATGCTCGACGCCATTGCTCACGCTGCCGTGAGGACCAGAAACGCCCAAGAGAAGTGCAGGGATCAGAGACCTCTCCCGCTCAGTGCACTTGCACCGCCCTGTCCCTAATCCCACAGGAGGGTCTGCGGCCCAGCCCGTGAACACCGACTCGGACCAGGAAAGAGAACCATTCGAGGACGCAAGAGTTAC